CATCGCCACGACCATTACCATCGCCGCCATCATGATCATCATCAGCACCATCATCAGCAGAACCAGCTTCAAATTCAGCATCAGCATCGTCAGCTTAGTCAGCATCATCATCGTCATCACCATCATCAGCATCAGCATCATCACAATCAGCACCATCATCAGCGGCAACATCATCAGCATCATAGTCGCCAGCAACCTCGTCTTCATCATCATCAGCATCACTATCATCCTCGCCAACCTCACCATCACCGTGATCAGCATCATCATCATCAGCATCATCAGCACCATCACAACCACAATCACCATCATCATCAACGGCGTCATCGCCATCATCATCAACATCAGAATCCTCATCCTCATCAGCATCGTCATCATCAACATCGGCGTGATCATCATCAGCATTATCTTCATCATTATCATCGTCATACTCATCACCAGCATGGTCATGAGAACAATCTTTCATCGTTAACCATTCATCAGCATCATCAGCATAATCAGCATCACCATCGTCGTCGCCATCAGCATCATCATCAGCAGCATCTCAAGCATTAGCATCATTATCAGAAGGATAATCACTGTCATCATCATCAGCAGCATCACCAGCATTGTCGTCGTCACCATCATCGCCGTAATCACCATCGCCGACGTCATCATCAGAATGATTACATTACAGCACCAACATCATCACCATCATCATCATCAGAACAATCAGCGTCGTTAGCATCATTATCGTCTCCAAAGTCATCATCAGCAACAGCATCATCATCGTTGCCGACGTCGTCGTCACCATTGCCAACCCTCTCATCATCATCATCATCATCATCATCATCATCATCATCATCATCATCAGCATCATCATCACCATCACCATCGCCATCACCATCACCATCATCGCCATTATCATCCTCGTTATCATCACCGACACCGTCATGATCATCATCAGCAGCATCACCATCATCATCATCAGCACCGCGGTCAGTATCATCAGCATCATCAGCGTCATCATCATCATCATCATCATCATCATCATCATCATCATCATCATCATCATCATCCCCATCCTCATCACCATCGTCGTCATCATCAACATCCTCATCATCATCATAATCGTCATCATAATGAGCATCATCAGCATCAGCGTCATCAACAGAATCACAATTCATAGCAACAGTTCAGCAGCATCTTCACCATGATCATCATCATCATCATCATCATCATCATCATCATCATCATCACCATCACCATCGCCATCAATCATCATCATCATCACCATGATCAACATCATCTTCATCACCATCATCAGCATCATCAACATCCTCATCACCATCGTCGTCATAATCGTCAGCGGCATTACCATCATCACCATCATCGTCGTCATCACCATCAGCGTCATCAGTCTATTATCACACCATCATCATCATCATCATCACCACCACCATCACAGCATCATTAGCAGCAACATCATCATCATCATCAGCATCATGGCTGTCATCATCACAATCATTATCATCATCGTCATCATCATCCTCAGCATCGTCAGCGGCATTATCACCATCATCCTCACCATTATCGGCATCATCATCAGCGTCTTCTTCATCATCATCATCATCATCATCATCATCATCAGCGTCATCGTCATCGTAATCCTCCTCCTCCTACTCCTCATGTTCCTCCCCATCATCACCGTCATCAGAATCATCATCGTCGTCATCATCAGCATCAGCATCATCAGCATCAACATCATATCATAATCATAATCATCATCAGCATATCATCATCACCACAATCGTCACAGCATCATTAGCAGCAACATCGTCATCAGCATCATGCCCGTCATCATCACCATCATTATCATCATCGTCGTCATCATCACCATCATCATCGTCCTTACCCTCCTCATCCTAGTCCTCCTCCTCCGCCTCCTCAGCCTCCCCAGCCTCCTCGGCCTCCTCGGCCTCCTCGGCCTCCTCCCCCTCCTCCTCCTCCTCCTCCTCCTCCTCCTCCTCCTCCTCCTCCTCCTCCTCCTCCTGCTCCTCCTCCTCCTCCTCGAGCGTAGCCGAAGCGAACAAGTCCTCACTCCGCACCTACCTCCCTGAGCAGATAGGCGGGCGGCCTGGTGGCGAGCCAAACGAAGCCTCCTCCTCCTCCTCCTCCTCCTCCCTCCTCCTCCTCCTCCTCCTCCTCCTCCTCCTCCTCGAGCGTAGCCGAAGCGAACAAGTCCTCACTCCGCACCTACCTCCCTGAGCAGATAGGCGGGCGGCCTGGTGGCGAGCCAAACGAAGCCTCCTCCTCCTCCTCCTCCTCCTCCTCCTCCTCCTCCTCCTCCTCCTCCTCCTCCTCCTCCTCCTCCTCCTCCTCCTCCTCCTCCTCCTCCTCCTCCTCCTCCCCCTCCCCCTGCCGCTAAGCGGGGCGGGAACTGGCGGGCGGGCGGCGTGCCGCGGTTGGCAAACGGCCCAGACCTCCCCGGGGGGGGGGGGCCCGGCAAGAGCAGGACTGTCCCGAAGGCCCCGCTCTCCCTGCGCTGCGGGGGCCACAGGGTGGGGGGCCACAGGCAGGGGGCCACTTCGTTCGGGAGCTCCCTGGCGAAGTGAACCCCACCCTCTCCCTCAGAGGTCGTGGGGGGTTAGGGGTGGGGTTCGCATGCGGCCCCCTGACAGGGAAGGTGCAGTCGAAACGCTGTCATAAGGAGCCCTGAATAAGGAACGAGGCTCATTTGATCCGTAAGTTACATTTCGATGTCCCATGGAAAACCGAAGGGCAGCCCAAGACAGCCTGTGAAACAATAACCCAGCGGTCGGAAGAGGTAGGTAGAAACATGAAGCAGGAAGGCGTCGAAAGCAGATGGGGTCCCGCCCGCCCCCCAAGGAGGACGGCAAAGGTGAAGCCACCCGATCACTGAAGCAGGAAGGCGCTCGAAGCAGATTCGAACCTGGGGCTCCAAAAGCACCTATACCTTCAACGACCGATGGGCAAGGAGCCCTGAGCCCCTCCCCCACGAGAAGGGTCCCTTCCTCGGCGGCCCGACTGCAAAACCCCCACGCGCCGCCACACGCCACGGACCACTCGCGAGGGGGCGCTCGGACCAGGACAGACCTCGGGGCGAGCCCCGCCGTGGCGGTGAGAGACGGCGGGGGCAGCGAGCACGGCGGGCGCGCGCGGCGAGCGCGCCGGCGCGGGTCTCCGACGCATCCCTCCTCCCCTCCCTGCTCCTGCCTCCCTCCTCCCTCGCTACCTCCCCTCTCCCCCCTCCCCCCTCCTCCTCCCTCCCCCTCCCCCTCTTCCCCTCTTCCTCCCCTCTTCCACAATTTCTCAATATGAATACTACTCTCTCTCTTCCCCTGATGGCGTCCTGGGAATATTCGACCCCACCCCGCGTACTGTTTTTTACACACAGGATTCCCGGGAGTTGGGTTTTCGCCTGCGTTTTTTCAAAATGCTGCTCTCGCTGAGGCGCTGGCCTCATTTCTGCTCCCGAATCGTTCCGAATCGTGCTCCCGCTGCAGCGTGGGCCTCATTTTCGGATCGGTGTTTTGCCTCCGTCGTTCAGGATGGCGTTCTCGCCCCAGCGCGGGCCTCTTTCTCGCGCGCCCATCCGCCCGCCACCACCGCGCCGCACCACGCCCCGCCCCGCCGCACGCACACCCACCGCCACTTCCACCCACCAACGCACGCACGCACGCACGCGCACCACCACCGCGCACCGCCACCACCACCGCACTACCCCACCCACCACCACCACGCTACACCGCGTCACACCACATCACACGCGCGCACACACAGACACGCACGCACGCACGCACGCACGCACGCACGCACGCACGCACGCACGCACGCACGCACGCACGCACCACGCACGCACGCACGCACGCACGCACGCACGCCGCACGCACGCACGCACTGCACGCACGCACGCACCACACACAACACACACACCCACACACACACACACACGCACGCACGCCACGCACAGCACGCACACACACACACACACACACACACACACACACACCACACCTACACCACACACACACACACGCACGCCGACACGCCACGCACGCACACGCACGCACACACACACACACACTACACACGCACACGCACACACACGCACACACACAGACACACACACACACCACCACCGCCACCACCACTGCCATCACGCACGTACGCACCTGGCCCACCACCAAACCACCAAGACGCCACACCACGTCACACCACAGCACACGCGCACACACGCACACACACACATACACACCACCACCACAACAACCACAACCACGCACACACGCACGCACGCACGCGCACCACCACCCACTACGCACACGCGCGCGGAGCCACAGGTCCGCTACGACACGCGTCCGCGGATAGAGAAAATCAGCGCCATGGTAAGGGATGGGAGGGAGGGGTAGGATGTCAGATGTTGACGCGAGCGCACCTAACTTGCCTCTTCCCCCTCCCCCTCCCCCTCCCCCTCCCCCTCCCCCCCCCCCCTCCCCCTCCCCCTCCCCCTCCCCCTCCCCCTCCTCCTCCTCCTCCTCCTCCTCCTCCTCCTCCTCCTCCTCCTCCTCCTCCTCCCCCTCCTCCTCCTCCCTCCTCCTCCTCTCTCTCCTCCTCCTCCTCCTCCTCCTCCTCCTCCTCCTCCTCCTCCTCCTCCTCCTCCTCCTCCTCCTCCTCCTCCTCCTCCTCCTCCTCCTCCTCCTCCTCCTCCTCCTCCTTCCCCTCC